ATTGAAAATGGTTACAAACTTTTCAACTTTGCCGGTGAGTTGTTGAGAGAAGAACTGGTTGATGGATTCAAGGACTTCATCTGGAGACCACGTCCAGCTTCTCTCTTGACAGGTGGTGACAAGAAGAAGGTCAGAAAGAACTTGCGTGAGTACAGTGCCCAATTCGACGAGACCGACCTCATGGAGGATTCCTCCTCTGCCAGAGAGTTGATCCTGAAGAGACGTCGTCTATTGGAGGAGTGGACCGCATTCAGAGCAAACGTTGCAGCCCACAAGGAGCAATACGGTATCGTGGAGGTTTCCCATGACAACGAGGACCTCGAGGTTATTGAGGAAATCAAAGAGGAGGTGTTGAAGGAGACTGAAGAGATCGTTGAGTAAGTACGATGTTTGTATAGTGAATCACAGCATATTGTAAAACTGCGTAATGTACACTTTTGACGGTGTATTGTAAATTTCCTTTTTAAAATTTTTTTTTCTTGCTCATCTCATCGCAGAACTCCACTATACCGAAAAAGAAGAGGTAGAGTGGGAAAAAAAAAATCTTTCAACATCATCATTTTATACCATCTTTCTACACATCAAAGCGGTCCCAAGTTGTTGTTTCCTAGTAGGTTGTTAACCCTGAGGACTCTCAGTAGATCAAGCAGTTCAAGCATGACAAAACTTCAAGGAAGAGAGCTCTATGAGTCTATTGGCTCCCCAAAGCGAATCGTGGCGCCTATGGTTGATCAAAGTGAACTGGCATGGAGAATACTATCACGTAGATACGGCGCCACGCTGTGCTACACACCGATGTTCCATGCCCGGCTGTTTGCCACAAGTGAGAAGTACAGACAGGACATGTGGGGTGAATGGGACGGTGACGCTGGCAAAGACCGCCCACTTGTTGTTCAATTCTGCGCCAATGACCCAGAATATCTGTTACAGGCTGCTAAGCATGTGGTCGGTAAATGCGACGCGGTTGATCTGAACCTGGGGTGTCCACAGGGAATTGCCAGAAAGGGCAACTACGGCTCTTTCTTGATGGAGAACTGGGACCTCATTTACAAGCTGATCAACAAGCTACACACAGAGCTTGATGTCCCGGTGACTGCGAAGATCAGGGTGTTTGAAGACCGTGAAAAGACCTTGGAATACGCAAAGATGGTTCTCAGTGCAGGCGCACAGTTCCTGACAGTTCATGGACGTACGAGGGAGATGAAGGGCCAGAAAACCGGACTCGCTGACTGGTCGATAATCAAGTACCTCAGAGACAACTTGCCACAGGATACGGTGTTCTTCGCTAACGGCAACATCCTGTACCCAGATGACATCTCAAGGTGTCTAACTGAGATTGGCTGCGATGCAGTGATGAGCGCAGAGGGCAATCTGTACAACCCAGGGGTGTTTGTTGATGCCGAGGAGGACCTCAAGAGACAGTTCCCACGGGTCGACCACATACTGAGGGAGTACTACGAAATCGTCAAGGACTGTCCTGGCAACGCCTCCAAGATTGCGATGAAATCGCACATCTTCAAAGTCCTCAGACCCTTCTTGGAGGTCCACACCGACATCAGACAAGAGGTTGCCAAGATGAATACAAAGTACCGGTTTGATGACGTTGAGCGCGTCGTGAAGCTTGTCGAGGCCACTGTTGAAGAGATCTTCGCCAAACCTGACATCGAGCAGCTGGACGTGATCACAGCGGGAGACAAGCAGCTGTGGGGCGGCTCGTACAAGAAGGTGCCCTACTGGAGGTGTCAACCGTACTTCAGACCTGTCAACGGCGTCAGTGGTGATAAGAGAGTCACCGAGGCGCTGAAGAGCCAGAACGAGCCACTGAAGAGCCAGAACGAGCCACTGAAGAGCCAGAACGAGCCACTGACGAGCCAGAACGAGCCACAGCTCAGCAATCACCTGCCACACAACAAAAGACCCCTACAGCCCGATAACGAACAACAGACAAAGAGGCCTAAGCAGTCCATATAAACCTTTCCAATGCGGTAATTTCGCCTTCTCGCCCAATACACACCTCTCTCTCTAAAAGCCTCTGCGTAGTGTTGAGCCCAGCGTACACCCAGAGCGCTTAATAGCGTGCATAGGCGTCCCTCGGGCGTTGCGGAAGGCGGCACGGTTAATTCCGACCAGCGAGGCCGTTACGTAATCCGAAAGGGTATACATCACGCAGTCCAAGGCCGATGCTCACCCATAGTTTATAGCGCAAAGAACGGACCTTTGATCGAAACACCGATAGCCGTTCAAGCGGGAAGCAGGGCAGCAAGCAGAGCGGGAAGCAGAGAGATATATAAGGCCAGTGTGTTTGTATTCGTTCCTCTTCCTCCACCACGATGATGCTGACGAGACATCAGTCAATCACGGAGACCACGCCTCTGATAGAGCGCCAGACACACATGACACATAGGGCGAGAAGCTACACGACCGGGGACCTCATCGCACAGCACAACAGGAGGGTGCGGATGAACTCCGTGGCGAGCTCACACATCTACGACAACGACCAGAGCAGCATCGTGACGGCGTACCACAGCATCAGGGACTACGTGAAGGAGAGGTATCCTTCGCTCACGACGCGGAAGTTCCTTGCCGCCATAGTATGGTCGATAGTGGCGGTTGGTATCTTCAACCTGATCTTTCTACCGAGAACGTCGCTAGGACGAGACTATAGACGGTTGCACTTTTCAGCGCTGACGAAGGATGAGACCGAGCGACTGTTCCTGAAGGCGTTGAACGAGGAGAATAACGCTGGCGAACAGCTGCGGCAGTACATGAAGCGCCAGCACTTGAGTGGTGATGGCGATGAGTACGTACAGTACACAATGGAGCAGCTGCGACAGTATGGGCTGAAGCCCTATAAGGAGGTTTACTATACCTGGATGACAAAGCATGTTGAGTCCACAGTGAGCGTTTTTGATGAACAAGGCTCTCTTGTGTATTCACCTTCCTTGCTGGAGGTTGATCCCGTCTCAGGGGTATCATCACAGGGCTATCACGCCTACTCGGGTTCAGGAGATGTAACAGCGCCATACATATTCGTCAATTATGGAAGCCTGGATGATTATAGAAAGCTACGTAATCTTGGAGTTGATCTCAAGGGGAAAATCCACATCATACGCACAGGTAAGGTGTCTACTGCGCTTCAAGTCGAGCATGCCGAGTCCAACGGTGCAGTTGGAGTCATCACATACATGGATCCTAGTGACGATGGCAAGTTCACCACGAAGAATGGATTTGAACAGTACCCGGACGGGCCTGCTCGTAATACAAGCAGTGTTAAAAGAGACACAGTACTTCGTTATTCTCAAGCACCTGGTGATCCAACAACCATTGGATTTCCCTCGAACAGAGCAGTAAAGAGAAGAAAACCGCACAATTTACCAAAGATACCATCCATCCCTATGAGTGCAGATAAAATCACCCCAATCCTTCAAAGAATCCCGTCCTCTCATGATCTCAACTGGACTGGCGACATTGAAGGGTTTGATTATTCGTGTGGACCATCCAATTTCACCATCAATCTGGTGAACCACAACGAAGCTGAAGTCGTTCCACTGAAGAACATCATGTATGAAATCCCTGGACTCCTAAGTGAGAAGGTGATTCTGGGCAATCATAGAGACAGTCTAACCATGGCTGGTGCAGCAGATCCTGGCTCAGGTACAGCGATCTTGCTAGAAATATCCAGAGCATTTGGATCTTTGATAAAGCTAGGCTGGAGGCCGTTAAGAACTATTGTTGTTGCATCATGGGATGGGAGTGCACATGGAATGCTGGGCTCTACGGAGTACGCTGAGAGTCATGAAGTGGATTTACAGGCACATGCAATTGCGTATATCAACTTGGATGCAGGTGTAACAGGACACAATTTGGATATCGTTTCGAACCCACTATTGGACCATTTTCTGATTGGTGCTAGTAAGAACATTCCATTTAATAACTACAGTGATACCAAATCTTTATTTGATTATTGGGAAGAATCTCACTTGGGGAGCGAGAAGATCAATAGATTAGGGTCAGGATCTGACTTCACGGTTTTCCAGCACCATTTAGGAATCCCCAGCTGTAACGTGGGATTCCACGGTGACCCTAATGACTCATTGCCTGTTAACATTGGATCATCATTTGATACCTTGGATTGGATGGAAAGATTTGTTGATCCTAACTATGAATATCATGGAACCATGGCAAAGTACCTCGGGTTTCTAGCACTATCCCTTAGTGAACACGAGGTTATCGAGTACAAAGTTGAACATTATGCTCATGAAATAAAAGGCTACTTCAACGACTTGATTTCCATCATCCCCTCGTCATGGTGGGATCGTGATGTCGAAAGAGGCACGTCGATGTCATTGGCAATTGACCAAGTGAAGTACCTCATCGAACAACTATTGACCGTATCAACCAACTTTGATCGTACTGCCCAGCTCCTCCAAGAACAAATATCTGTTGATTACCCTTGGTTTCAGTTCTACATCAAGTTAAGACTTGCCATGAATTCGAAGATCATCGGCAACAAGGCCAAAGATATCGACCAGATGTTTTTAACGAACAAGGGAATCAAGGGAAGACCTTGGATGAAACATCTGGTGTTCGCACCGGATAGAGATACCGGCGATGATGTATCGCTGTTACCCTCGCTGCGTGAATCCCTGGCAGATGGTGAATTCGATGCGTTTATTGCATCACTACAGGACATTGCCAGTGCTTTGAGAAGAGCTACGAAAAGATTAAGACTTTAACAACCTGTTTTTGTTTGTTCAGATAACTAATAGATGACCGTTATGAAGATGAATAAATAATTGCTTTAACATATGTAATAAATACCCCCTGGAACATCATGAAATACCCAACGCTCTCTTCATGATGCTGTACTGCTGTTTCCCATTTGACATCAGATACTTGTTGGCATCCAGGGTTGGCGCAGAGGATCGGAACTCGTGCTTCACGTAGCTCAGAAGCTCTGCCTGCTGATCCACCGGTGCTTCTGTTACCACTGTTAGCATCAATATCCAACGCTATATACCTCACTATCACTCACTTCTTATGTCTCGAAGCACCTGTCTATAGAACCTCAGCACCTCTTGATTATGCATAAACTGTACGATGAAACGTTAGATTTCCTTCTCCTGAATCATACACTGTGGTGTACTAACCTCTTTGAGACCCAGTTTCCTACTCATTGCTGCCGACAACAGCTGCTTTCCTGGCGAGCTTTCCTGGCAAGCTTCCTTGTTGACAATGGTAGCTCCTCTAGTTTTGCTCATGTTTTTCCCGCCTTATATATGTGCGCACATACAAAAACTAACGCTATCATCAACACCCACAACGGAGCTGGAAGATAGGTTATCGGTGTAAAGCAACACGTTACGATGGACGCCCAAGTTCACAGAAATGCTCACTGTAAACTAGTGCTGCTCGGTAAGCTCGTGTTACAGTGCTTTGCCTGGTTTTAGCGGGATCGTGATCAGCTTTACGGGCGAGAGGCATATATAGCGATGGGATTATACTAACAACACCCTAGGAGACTCTGCTGTCGGAAAGTCCTCGCTAGTGCACCGCTACGTTAAGCAACAGTTCCTGGAGCTGAGAGAATCAACCATAGGGGCAGCTTTCATCACGAAGACTGTTAATCTCGATGCGTACACCTCTGTCAAGTTTGAGATATGGGATACCGCTGGACAGGAACGTTACAAGTCCCTGGCACCGATGTACTACAGAAACGCTGATGCTGCGCTAGTGGTGTTTGACGTGACAGACCAGGTTAGCTTTGAACGGGCAGAGAGATGGATAAAGGAGCTGAGACTTCAGGCGCCAGAGGGCCTGATAATAAAGCTTGTAGGGAACAAGATTGACCTTAAGGACAGGCCTAATTCTAACCTCGTTGACGAAGCAATGGTGAGGGAGTATTCGTACTCGGAGGGCATTGAATATCTCGAGTGCTCTGCAAAGACCGGTCAAGGTGTGATGGAGATCTTTGAAGGCATAGCCAATGAACTTCCGCAGGAGAAGTTTGTAGTGCAAGGCGTTGAAGATGGCGATATCCAGGGACAAGGAGGTGTCATTGACCTGAATGGTGCTAGAGTCCATGTTCACGCAGCAGGATGTAGATGTTAAGAGTGCTGTGTTTGTTGTATGGTGACTTTATTTGGGTTTCTTTAATCACGATAGTAATATTTTATGCACTTATATGGGGTATGAAACCCACCAGTGTATTCAATAGCGATGACCAATGCCATCAGCACGACAAGAGTTATCCTATGAGCCTGGCGACCTCTCATAGATGCTCCGCTAAGAAACAAGAAAGCATAGGTCAAATGAGATGTACGTAGCTCAAAAAACCCTATGATGATCATGAGCTCCACAACCTGTACTATCATGGTGATGTATTCATACAGTGGATTGTTTTCCTCAAGCTCTTGATACTCCTCGACATCAAGCTCATCAACGTCGTCAATGACAGCCATAAAGTCATTTTCCAATATCTCCAAAACCTTTAACAATTCTTCGCTAGAAGGTCTTTCTGCCGGATCTCTGGAAGTCAATTGACGGATGAGATCGTTATACTTTGGGTTCAATCCCTCCCTCGTATTGATTGTAAACTCGGTAGCACGCTGGTACATCGCATCAAGCTCATCATCACCACTTACTTCCTTGAAGAAGGTGTCCAATTCAACGGCACTTATAGTGGAAGATGGCAGATCGCTGTAGCACAAGAAGTAAAGAATCATCCCCATGGAGAACATGTCAGTCATTTCATTGAACTCAGCTCTGGCACCAGCGATCGGAGACAGGAAGACTTCTGGTGCACTATACTCAATTGTACCAGTGAAGCCAGTTCCGGTACGCTTCTCACCCAAAAACTGGGACTCTCCAAAGTCTCCAATGACAACAGATGGAAGTACTTCAAGGTTTTCCCCATTGTTATAAGCATCTTCGCAGTACTTCCTAGTTAGGAGAATATTAGATGGCTTCAGATCTCTGTGGATAATACCGTTCCTGTGCAACTCAAGCAACCCTCGACAGATATCCCTGAATATATAGAATATCTCCATATTCGTCAATAATCGACCCTGTGGTTTCCGGTGCTTGTGTTTCTTCAAATCGTGTACTGTCCAAGGAGGGTTCCTCAACTCAGTGAGCAAGTCCTCCAAATTGCCTCCAGGGCAATACTGCTCCAAAATGAAAGCACACGGCACTTCCGGACCAAACTCGTTTATACGGTCAATCTCAAACCAAACATGGTTGTAACTGACTAGGTTCGGTGATTTGGCACTGATCTGTGAGAGCATCTTGACCTCTCTCAAGGTGCGCTCCAACAGCCTCTCATCTGTACCAACAGTGATCTTTTTGAGAGCAAATACCCCCAGCGAAACATCATTTAGCATATGCTCGACTTTGAATACGCTCCCGTTGGACCCATTACCCAGGAAAGCCATTTTCTTGAAGAACTTCTTGAAGTAACCCTGTGCAAATAGCCCATCAACAGAGTTGACGCTGGACTCCAAGAGCCTGAAGTAATTCACTTCTGGGCCAGCTGAGTGCGGAGCTTCAGCTGAAGCCGGCGAGAATGGCACCCCCGAGAATGTCGACCCGCAATGAGGACATCTCATCTGGTGGAACGAAGAGCGTCTTGCTCTGAACCCATCATGCTGTGATTCTTCTTCAGTTGCAACAATGGATACCTCATTTGTATCACTGTTGAAGAGAACTCTTGTCAACATTGTGTTGTTGATGACGAGTGAATAAACCTGCTGATCCTCGTGAATTGACTCATTGGAGCCGTTGTATAGGATTAGACTCATTGATTACAGACTCTCAGCTTAACACAGCAGCTTGTTTGGCAGAAATGAGAGCATCCTGGAGACACCACCCCATAGAAATAGAAATGGTGTCAAATCTGACAGAGACAATGGTAAGTACGGATGTTTGGGTGTGCGGGTGTGGGTGTTGGGATGTTTCGGTGTCTGGGTGTTACACCGGCTCTGAATACTGTTAGCAAAAAAATACGCAGCAATACAGGAAAGGTCATCAAGGCCATCTCGTAAGCGTGACGAACGCATACAGCACGTACAGCATGGATTTCCTAACGCTGATCAATGTTCTTGAGCAGGCAAACAGCTCAGAGAGAACAGCCAATCAGAAGCTCGCAGAAAACCAACTGAAAGAATGGGAAAAGCAGGAAGGATTCCACTTCCTGCTCCAGTCTGTTTACAATGACCTTTCACTCCCATTGCAAACACGTTGGCTGGCAATTATCAGCTTTAAGAATGGTATTGAGAAGTACTGGAGGTCATCCCGTGTGAAGGCCATTAGCGAGGGTGAGAAGAGCCAGATAAAAGAACATTTATTTGATCTCATTGACGAGCCTAACAAGCAGCTGTCTATTCAGAATGCACAGGCGATTGCTAGAATATGTCGTTGTGACTTCCCTCATCATTGGCCTACACTCTTTGACGATATCGAGCGAATCCTACAACAGGCAATTGGTGAGAGCAACAACATCAAGATTCACAACCTACTCATTATGCTGAACCAAGTGATCAAGAGCCTGTCCATGGCGAAAATAGGCAGAACTAGGCCGGCATTACAGAGTAAGGCTCCATTAATCACGCCATTGTTGATCAAACTGTACACTTCTTACTTCAATGAATGGACAGATTCCATTGATTTCGGTATCATGGAGGTTGGTTACTTGACACTAAAGGTTATGAGAAGACTCATCACAGATGTGTACGACCATCCTAGTCAAACTCCTGAAATTGTAGACTTCATGTCTCTCTCTGTTCATCATTTCGAATTGCTAGTACAGAACTATGATAAGTACTCCCCTTCTGAAATTTTTGAAAAGTATATCAAATGTTATGCCAAAATCTACTACCTTCTGTGCAAGGCAAACGCAACACATTTGATCTTATTTCCTTGCTCAAAGGAAATACTGTACGCTTTGTTACGCCTGCTACACGATAAGGCGGAAATTGTTTACAAGAACGACATTGACGATGATTCAGGTGCTATCTGGGAGTTTTTGGCCATAAAGACTCTGCTCATCTTCAAAATCATGATCAATTTTGTCTTCAACCGTGGAACTGTGCTTACCTTGAAAGCGAAATCCAGCAAAAGTGACGTGGAAAATGCTATCAAACTGCTAACCACGGGGTTCTTCACAGAATCGATGATAAAATCAATCACAGACTTGTTGATTACATACTACATCAAGTTGAAGCCTAGTGATTTGGAGTCATGGGCTACAGAACCTGAAGAGTGGACCAATGATGAAGTTAATCAGAACTACGAGTACCAAATCAGACAATGTGCTGAGAACTTCTTCCACGATATCATGATCAACTTCAAAGGGCTGTTAGTCCCATATGTGCTGGGCAAAGTCCAAAACGACATGGCAAACTACAACGAAGTTTCTGTTAATAACATCTTGGTCAAGGACTCCATTTTCTCTATATTTGAACTCAGTGCCCACTCGATCCATGACCAGATCAATTTCATGGATCTGTTTGACCGTATCTTTCTTCCAGAGGCATTGAAGAACGATCTATCCGAGAACAGAATTCTTAAGAGACGTGTGTGTCTGTTGATCAATGAATGGCATGAGCTGGGTGTGTTCTCTGAAGATGCCATGCAGAAGGTTTATAACCTCTTACTGACCTTTTTGGATTCCCAAAATCCTATCAATGACAAGGTAGTCAAGCTAACAGCTATCCAGGCACTGAAAACCATCATCACTGATTGGGACTTCAAAAAAGAAGGATTTGCCTCTTTTATCAAGCCATTCATTGAGCACTTACTTAGACTGACAAATGAGATGGAGCTTACCGAATCAAAGTTGTTCCTCTTGAATGCCACTGCTGAATTGATCAATAGAACGAACCCGTTGATCTCGGAGACTGAACTAAATGACCTTTTAGCTGCGGTTCCTCATTTCTGGGATAACTCCAACAATTCGAATCAGTTGATTTTGAAGAACAGCTTGCTCAGAATTCTCATGAATCTCGTGATCTCACTGAACCAGAACTCAAACAGAGCATGGGACATATCGCTTCCTCTGGTTTCGGTCTGCTGCTCACCAAGCTCTGAGTACCACCCGTGGGTAGCTGAAGATGGGTACGAGCTATGGCTTGCGATTCTGCAATACTACCCTAACTCTCAGAGCTTGGACATGAACAGCTCACTGGTGAATGATCTACAGAGCTTCTACTTGCATGCACTGAACAACCAAACCGAGATCCTGCCAATGATCTTGGAGATTCTCAGAAGTTATACAATTCTTCTTCCAGATATGTTCATTGCAGACAACACACGCTCATTTACCCTTGAGGTTCTCAGAGTGTTGGCAAAATACTTGCCTCAGATGAGAGACGATGCTCTTGATATAATGCTGTCTTACTTGGAGATCTTCATTCTAGAGAACTACTCTGAAACTGCAAAGTTTGAGAAACTATTGTCACTTCTTATGGAGTCTCGTCTTTTACCAACCATCATAGAGAATATCTTGGATGACAACCAATCACACATCACAGTTGGTAAGTTGCTCTTGAGTATTGCTCGTCTCACATATCTAGAACCACAGAATTTCATCCAGGTGTTCCACTATCTCTACACTTCTGAAACCGAATTGAAGGCTGCACTCCGCAAATTCATGATGGTGTGGTATGCCAGAATGGATGCCAACATCAGTAACCCAAGAAATAGAAAGATACACGTTCTTGGTCTGACATCGCTATTACGCACCGGTGATGAAATCTTCCTGGAAGATTTGGCACCATTGGTTGCGTTATGGGTTGCTTCCTTGGAAGAAGTACACGAAAAGTCCAACACCGGTGACTGTGAGATTTACCACTCCAATTATCTCTACGAATTCAAGTATGGCAATGATCTGGTGATTCAGGAGAACGGTGAGTATAACAGGTTTCAGCAACTGTTCAAGATGTATGATCCTGTACATAATATCATCCTGAAGGACTACATCAATAGTTCTTTAAGTGTCGTCAAGATGAGAGTCGGGGACGCCAACTTGAACAACTACATCAATCGCCTGGATAAGAACCTCGTTTCCAATTTCGAATACTTCATGGGTCTATCTACATAGCTGTATATTGCATAAATATGTTCCATCCAAAATCAAACTATCGTAATGGTATATGTGCACTGGAGTATGCCAATATCCACTTGGTGTTCGTCAAAAGGAATTTGCATGCGCTGGTCCATTCATCATCAGCAACTTTGGAACCAAGCCTTATACTTGCCTCACCAATCTTGTGGTTAACCATTTTATATGGTAATTCGATGTTGGTATCATACTTTTGCAGATGGTTTGAGATCTGCGATAGAATGTCAAGAATGGCAACAAGACTATTATCAAGATTAGAATGGTTAAACAACCGTTCAATTTGATAATCACCAGAGGAGTACGCCTCCAAGATCGTGACCTTTGGCTTGGAAGGGTTGGAAGGGTCAGGCTCGTACTTTTCAATCTTCGATGTTGAGCCCATTGGCTTCAGTTTGTAGCCCACCAGCTTGAAATTCAGCCTAGTGGTGATTGTAGCCAGCAGGAGTATCACTTGGCCTAGAGCAGAATTTATTTCTCTCCAGGGAACACGTATGCCGTCTAAACTACCTAGCCGTAGTCCGTTTATTGTTGCAAATGGACCATCGTGGGATATGTTGAAGGTGTCGCTATAGACGTTTGTCTTCCGAAGCTTCTCCAATTGTAGAAGGTTGAACTTATACTCCGCTGTAACAGTGTCACGCTCTTTGATGAGCTCGTCTACTTCTATGGCCTGTCTGTTCAGCTCCATCTGAAACTGCTGTTCCTCTTTATCGATTGTTTCCAGCTCTTTCTCCAAGGAGACAATTTCATCATCGAGTTGATCATTCTCAGCTTCAAGGCCCTGGAGCTCTTTCAAGAGGTCACCCTCCTTACCCTTCAGGTCGTTAATGTGGTCCATGGTGTCTTGTAACTTCCCTGTATCCTGTCCTGGCCTGTTTTCCAACTTTTGTAAGAACTGGACGTAGGCGTCCCTCTCCTTGATGACTTGGTCATACTGCAATTTCATACTCTCAATCAACAGCTTTGCACACTCGCCGCACACAGGGTAGTCCAAGTCACCCTTGGAAGAGAGCAAGTTGAATATCGACGACAGCATCTTCACCCTTGTTGAGACAATCTTGTCCTCAACATCGTCGTCGTCTTCCCTGTCCTCATCCTGGCCCTCAAACTGAGGCAGTATCACGAAGGAGTCGCCATCACTTCTCCAATCAACAAGAGCCGGCTCTCTAACATTACTCGTCGATCTGTCGAGTCTTCGTTGCCTCTCAGCAGGGATAAACGGTGGATTTCCCAGTAGCTTCTCACTGTTGTCGTCCCTATCACGTCCATACCCTAATCGTCCTGATGTGAGGAGATGACCCTGAGCCTTGGTCAAATTGGTTAACGATGAGTCAATCACAAGTGGCAGATGGCACCGTTGGCAGTTGTACTGGGCTGACATAGCACTGATTCTCTGATTCTCCGGCTGTCTCGCTGATGTTTGGAGCTAACTGCGTATCGAAGCGATAGTGGCTGTTGGTGATGATGGAAGGAGTGCGTAAGTCCGGGTTTTATAGTGTAGGCACCTCAGCCCGCACACCACTACACTGGCTCAACATGAGAAACCAAATAGAAAAGTACTGAATAAGTTGGAATATATACAGTGGTTCTTACACCTTTTCGATCCAGTACTTGTTTCGTGTTTC